AGCTTTTCACAGTGTTCTCTTTCCTTCAGGTTCTCTGATTAAAACTCTGCATGAATTTGTCATATCACCAATGCATGCAACATGTCCCACCAATCTTATCCTGCTTCTTAATACAATTTACAAATTATGAAGCTCCTCATTATGTAGTTTTCTGCATCCTCCTGTAACTTTTCTGAAGTCAAAATATTCCCCCCCGCACCCTGTTTTAAAACACCCTCAACTGGTACACCAGAGATCAAGTTTTATACCTTTATAAAGTAACAGGTAAAATGGCGGTTTTGTATAAACAGAAGATACGAGTAATAAAAATAAAATAGCACCAATGAGGCATTATTTATTTGTGTGATGGTCATATTAATCCAACTTGGTTATAAGGTAAACAAAGAAGATGCAAACTACGAAGAGTAAGAATGATATCACATTCTGGACACATCTGTAGAAAATAGATATGTCCAAATGGTCAGAATAAACATATATATCTCACAATGGCGATGATACAACCACCTAAAGTTGCTGTGTGATTCAATTCTGATTTCATTCTGCAACTAGTCCCTACAAAACTCCGCTATATCCCGCGCTGGTGACAAATTCTCTTGACATAAACACTCGTACCTGAGAGAGCATGAGGTAATTCTCGTAGAAGGGGACTGCCTGGCTGAATTCGCCACGGGAGGACAGACAGTTTCCGAGGTTCAAGAGAGCGCATGCTTCTCCTGCAGCGTCCTTGAGATCACGCGCAGTGTTCAGATGTGCGCGGTAGTGCAGCAGCGCCATCTCGTGTGCACCAAGGGCTTGGTACGCTACAGCCAGGTTCCCATGAGTCGATGCCTCAGAACTACGGTCATTTACCTCCTTTGATATTGTGAGTTCTTGCTTGTGGTACTTGATGGCCTGCATAGAAAGACACAGTCTTGCAACAACTGCATACAATGAATATTATAGACAATCGTCAAAAACTGCTAGGTACATCTTCTGCAATTGAATAATAATAACTATTTCTAAAATGTATTCTTTCAGCCTGTATGTTATAAAACTGCATTTGTAACTGTACTGAAACACTACTCATAAAATTCATCCAGGCGTTACCTGCTCATAGTAGCCCATGGCACTATAGGCATTTCCAATATTTCCATAAGCACGCCCCATTCCTGCACGATCCTGAAGCTGACGAGCAATGTTCAGATGCACCTGATGCAGTTTGAGTGCCGCATCATGCTCTCCTAGCAGCTGGTACACAATGCCGAGGTTTGAGCAAGCTCGACCTTCACCCACCTTATCCCGTGAGGACAGAGCCATATCCAGCTGACGCTCATGCCACCGCTTGGCCTGATAACATTAAAATGAACACGTGTAATGATACAATGTTCCATGTTCTGATGCTTCAGCCATTAGATGCTGGCTGAAACCAAATTAAATTCAAACCACTACAATGTGTGACAAATTTATCCTCATCTTCCAGAGTTCCTTTCTGAGGCATCGTCACCAAAATGTTATATTTATATCTTATACCTCCCAATCCACTCCATATAAAAAAACTGTTACATACAAATAATGCAATTTCTCACACCAAGTTTTGCAGTCTCTGGTCAGGTCGCCTGTCTTACAACCAAATACAATTATTTTACATGATCTTGGCATTCTCTACATTGGCATTTATATAAACATACAACCAAATCTCTTACAGCTTTGGTACATAAAATGGCAAGGAGTCTTCACTTCACAACATCCCATTAAACACCGGTAATGACAATGATGACATGTTACAGCAGTCATTCAGCTGCTGCTTAATCCATATCATCAGAATAATTTATGAAAATTTGCCAGTAACAGTTCTGAAGCTGAGAAACAAAGTAAGAACTTATTTATCAACTCAATGCTGATATACTAACAGCCTTCAGAACAGTAGCTAAATAATACCACTAAAAACTCCCGAAATAGCAGAGCATCTTTCAGATAAGAGCCATGTCACACCTGCGTGTAATCCCCGGCACAACGGGCCGCATGACCCAGTCCCGCGTAAGCCCGTGATTCCACTGCACGCTCACCAAGCTCCTGTGCAATTCGTAGAACATTTTCATGATATGAGATGGCCTGTGCAAAGTTACGTCGGTAATGATGCGATGATCCCAGGTTGCTGTACGCCCGAGCTTCCTCCACCTGCAACATTACCACAACTTTGCTTCCATGCAGTAAATAGAAACAAAAACAGAAAGGAATTTCCTGCCTCTCTTGTCGCAAACAGCTGATAAGTTCTAAAGTACAGTATTTAACTTCAAATAAATAATTAATTCATATAGATCAACAAATTTATTACAGAAGTTAGTGAGTAATATGTAAACCTGTTTGAGACAGTAAGTTGGTAGCATTTTTAATAAATTGCCATGATGTTTCACTACACTGTCATTATACACCGGCAGCCAGCGAGATGACAGGAAAGGTTTAATGTGACCCCAGATCTTTGACAGCTCTTGCTGCAAATGTTAAGTTACTACATCATAAGTTGACTTAACTGCAACAGCGCAGAAGTTGCGATTGCCCTGTGCTGACCACGAAGACACTGTTTCATGTTCTAGTATCCTGTACCTGATTGCCAAGCCTGCGTGCCAGACGGAGGTGCTGCGTGTGACAGTCCACTGCACTTTCGAACTCTCCCATGGCTAGGTACACAGCCCCCACGTTACCAATCTCTCTCGCTTCTTGCAGGCGGTCTCCCATCTGTTTCACCAGCTGCACACACTGCTTATGAGATGCGAGTGCATTGGGGTAGTCGCCCACTGCTGTATACACATGACCTGCGCAGATAACAGTGAGGGTCAAACTGCTGAATAAGTACTTTGTAATGGAAGAACTTGGCATCTACAAATGCTCATCTCTCTCACGTCGAAATATTCTCCTCAGTTAATCCCATTTTCAAACAGAAAGTTTATATTCTTCCCCCAAAGCAAAAAAACATAATTCAAGACTGCAAAGAAGTGATAAAACGTGACTTACGTAAGTGAATCATGAACAATAAAAAAAAATTTTAAGCTGAATAACAAACAATTCCTGAATTCATTCTTCCCATAATTTCATCAAAACCTCGTTTATTCTTGTTACAGTTCTTAAAGAAAACTTGAATTGTTAGAAGTCTTCAAATTATTTATAACATACAGTTATCCACTACAGTTTTTTTTATACACACAGAAAATAATTCACGTAACATAAAAATTTTGACTTTAAGTACTGCAAGACCAGTACTGCTAATATATCAATAACTTCTGTTTGTGAAGAAAAACTAACTTCTAAAATTCATATTCCTATTCTCATCAGTGAACAGGTAAACAGAAGAGGATTTCAATCACTCACCGAGACTTGTGAGGGCAGCAGCTGCGGCTTGTGTGTCTTTGCACTTCATGGCGAGAACCAGCTGGTAGCGGTGCGCTGTGAGGGCTTCCTTGTAGCTCCCCTTACTGAAGTACGCTGACCCCAGGTTGCCGTGAGCCCTGCACTCTCCTGCAATGTCTCCCAGCGTCTTGGCGACTGCCAAGTCCTGTTGCATGTAACTTATTGCCTAAATACCAGAAGACCTATTTGAGCAGCAGCAACACTACACAACAGATCTCAAGCAAGTCGTTCCCTTGTATTAGTTAAATTTTGGGTAGATATTAATGAGACGTTAATTTTATGTTAGTTTGATTTGAACTGATACAATCCAAAATATGGACATGTAAGTGAATGGAGTCACAGCTCCATGCACTCTTAACCGAAGCATTAGGAGGTGAGTGGTCAGCTATATGCTCCGACCACTTTACCCCAAGGAGAGTGGTGAGCGCCACCCAGAGCCAGTCTGGAGACTGTGACAAAGAACGAAATCCTGTTTTGCAGTGAACTGAACCCTATAATAAAAACCAAAACAGAACATAAATCTGAACTTAGTTACTTCGTATTATCCACAACTATAGCCGGCAGCATCATGCCCCCGTGACCTACGTACCTTGTCCAGGGAGTTGAGAGCCCAGTATGCCGACGACAGAGCCGAGAAGACGGAGCCCCGGAGCTTGAGGCTGCAGGTCCCGATCCTTAGCGCTGCTTCCAGTACGACGACAGCTGCGGCATACTGGGCCACACCCAGCAACTCCTGCCCTACCACCGAGATGATTACAAATGGTGACTTATCCAAATTCATAGCCTCCAGCTGCCTAAATGTCGGCTCCAGCGCGCCTGGAGTGACAATAACAAGAAACAAGTGTCAGACAGCAGAACATTCCTTGGTCGACTTATTTGGTAATGAAAGACAGGGATGTACACAGACTCTGTTTGTTTGAGGAAAGGTCGCTTAGGAGAATATCTGGACCTCAGAGGGATGAACTGATTATTTTGCAAATATTAATGTATAAAGAGCAAAACACGCACTAGCTGATGGTGAACTAATTATGTCTACACACCTCTGAGGGGAGATTTCATAGATGCCTCCACAAGTCCTGCCAGCAGCTGTGCATTTTTTGGGTCTTGTGCTAGGCCCGAGCTGAATGCCGCAAGGGCTTCTCCATGGCGACCAAGGCACTGCAGAGCCACTCCCTGCCGATAGTATGCCTGGCAAGATGAAAATATGCAACACGTTCAACACACTGGAACAGAACAGACTTGGGAACTGATGAACAATACAGGCTTGCTTACAATACCCAAAGAACTCATGTTCCAGAAAGAAGAAAAAGAACATGTTTTTGTAGTTTTATACCTGATATACCAGATTTGTAACAACAACAATCAAATTCCTGTCCTTGCATCCACAACACCTCGTGCTCCTGTACCTTGGGCCATTTGCTGTTGAGTTCGCGTGCTCGAATGGCATCCTGCAGAGCCTGCGCGAACTGCCCCATTTTGACGAGGGCCGCAGAGCGGTTTGAGTAGAGGATGTGGTTGCCCGGGTCCAAATGCAGTGCATCTGTATACAGAGACACGGCTGTGGCGTAGTCCCCGCTCTGGCACGCCGCATTTGACTGCCGTACCTTGTCCAGGAACAGGGCCTTACTTGCTGCCGGCAACTCCGACGTCCCTTCCGGCTCCACCTGTTCAATACAATTTCGGTTTCATGTAAAGTATTCTTATATTTTATCAGCATAAAAAAAATTGCCAATCAACAGTGTAGGCCTGCCAACCGGCATGAAATGTCTTAAAAACCTGTTCAGCAAATTCATGGATGAGAGAGACAAACAAACAAACAAACAAACAAACAGGCAGGCAGGCAGGCAGATGACTTCTTTAATGTGCGTTCATTTTATACTGTGCATAAAAATGAACAAACTTTCAATGCCCCCACAAAGGAAATTTTTCCCATTCTGACTGACCTGATGCCATGTGAAGTTACAGTTCTTCCAATGTTCTGAACCCTCGCTGAACCTAATTCCGTGGACCATAATTCTTCTTGAGAAGCTGACGGTTCTTCAACTAGTCAAGAAATTACCAACTTTTATGGAACCTGAAGGTTCATTTCATAGACATGTTCCATGCAGTCTCTTCCGTTCACTCTTTGTGACCAAAACTTCATGGTCCAGAAAATCTGTGCGGCATACAAAGCCCTGGCCTGAATCAGGCCGCAGCAAAAGAGATAAATAAAAGCAACACACACACACACACACATTCTCTAATTATGACACAGCCTAGTTCATGCTTTGCGTACTTTCACCTCACAAAAAAGATGTACAGTCTGGAATGAAACAAGCCAAACACATGGAGTAAATCTGGTTTCTTCATGTCATCTGACAACTTGGAAAGACCGAGAACTCCTCAAAACATCTGCACAGATATGAACTCGGTACACCAGGGAAGAGCTAATAACTTGAGATTTTAGGTTCTCTCAGTGGTGTAATTTGTACGGATCTTATCAAGGTGATCAAATCGAGGAAGGTGAGATGGGCGGGGCATGCAGCACGCATACAGGCCAGTAGGCGGAAAAAGTCTGATGGAAAAGGGCCGCTTGGGTGACCTTGCAGCGAACAGAAGGATGTTATGTGTGAAGTGAATTACACTGGCTTAGGATAAGGTGCATTGGGAAGGTTGTTGTGAACGCGATTATAAACCTTGGGGTGCCACAGAATATTTCCCTAAAATACTGTAATTTTGAAGTGAATAAAGGCTGGAAAGATGTCGTATGGGCAACATCAAAGGTAATTTAAGTGCATGGAAGTTATCCATCCACTTCGTTCAGAAGACATTACACTTGGCTTACTTTCATTTACTCGGGACCGGTCCCGATTGTGTGCAGCAGCCTCGTCTAATAATCACCTTCCTAACTGCAGAGAAGTTCAACCCAGATAAGAGAAAGGTCATCGTGTGTGTGTGTGTGTGTGTGTTGGCCGAACTGCCTTTCCCACGACGGGAACTGCGCAACGCCCATCCACTTGCATCGGTTACCAGGGGAACGCAGACATTACACAATCATTGTCGAGATTTCAGGTTCTGAGGACTGTCTTATGGGATGCCATGAAATGTAGACTGATCATCACCACCCTGGCGATGGAGGCAGTACACTTCTACCAGACTACACGGTGCAACAACACAGAAGACAGTCATTTCACACAGACTTCATTGTCAAAGGTGGCGACCCTTTTCGACGCGACATAAAATTTAAAAATAGGTGTCCGGTACTTACAAAGTCGTGGGAGGTTAGGTTGCATTAATCAGCACTGACTCTCATCCAAAAGGTCCAGGGGTCGAAGCTAACGGTCCTTAAAACACACGAACGCCACTTCCTTCCGCGTTCAACTCTGGAAGTTGATTCGGTGCTACGAGCCACGACCTTAATAAGGTCGGGCCCAGCCGTTACGGGATCGCTCCCCGCTCGGCATCTGTTGGAATGCCAGGCATTTCTGAGGATAATGCCCCGCGCTGGCTAACATAATCCAGTAAAGTCACGGTTGTAGAAATGCAGTAACAATTGACACACACAAAAATATAAGGTTTTTTGTCCTGCGCGTGGTGTAAATGAACACATCGTATCTGTCCGTCCGTCATCAGTACTGAACCAATTTGGATCAAATATGGTATCGATATTCTGTGTCCAAAGTT